GAACCCATACTATTAAGTGAAGTTTCCCAAGAATGGAAAAACAAGCACCACATATACTCACCAACAAATTGGTATTAACTGAGGAGCACCTAAGTGGACACATAGGTACTACAGTAATAGGGTATTGGGCAGGTGGGAGGGGGGAGGGGGGTGGGTATATACATGCAGAATGAGTGAGATGTGCACCATCTGGGGGATGGTCATGCTGGAGACTCAGACTTGTGGCGGGAGGAGGGGAAATGGGCATTTATTGAAACCTTAAAATCTGTACCCCCATAATATTCCGAAAAAAATAATTACATAGAAATATTGGAAACAATTGCTTTGAATATTTTATAGTATGGACATTATAACAATATTCATTCCTTCAATCTATGAACATATGTGTCTTTCCATGCATTCATGTTTTACTTATTTTCTTTCATGAAATTGTTGTTGTATTCCTTGTGCAGATCTTTCATCTCCTTGGTTAAATTTATTCCTAATTATTTTATATTTTGTACCTATTATAAATGGGATTTTTCCTTTCATTTTTTGGAAAGTTCACTGAGAATGTATACAATGCTACCAATTTTTGTGTGTTTATTTGGTACCCGAAAATTTATTGCATTCATGTATTGGATCCAATGTTTTGTGTCTGTGGTGTCTTTAGGGTTCTCTCTGTGTAAAATCATGTGGACAGCAAACAATGACAATTTTACTTCTTTTTGTCCTATTTGTATGCCTTTTATTTCCTTCTCTTGCCTAATTACTCTGATAAGGACTTTCACCACTATGACCAAAAGAAGTGGCAATAGTGGCCATTCTTACTTTGTTGCAAATTTTAGATGAAAGCTTTTCAATTAGTATGGATCTTTTCTTTATTATGCTATTGATTATAATGTTAGCTGTTGGTTTAGCATACATGACCTGTATTGGATTTTGTTACACTCCTTCTGCATCTAGTTTTGAATAGTTTTTTTTAAAATCGAAAATGTATGTTAAACTTTGTTACATAATTTTTCTGCATCTCATGTCATGATCTTGTGGTTTTTGTGGTACATCCTGATAATATGATGTATCCCATTTATTTAATTGCATATGTTGAATCATCATTGCATCCTAGGGATAAATTGAATTTTATCATGTTGTCTTGTACTATTAATGTGTTATAGAATACAGATTGTATTTTATTGAGAATATTTTCATGTATGTTTATCAAGGATATTTAGGTACAATTTTATTTTCTTGTGATGTGCTTGATTAGCTTTGTTACCAGGAGAAATCAGGTCCCAAACAAAGAATTTGGAAGTACTCCCTCATCTTCCTTTTTTGCAAGAGTTCATGAATGATTTGTTTTATTTCTTCATTAAATGTCCAATGGAGACAACAGTGAATCTTTCAAATCCTGGATAATTTTTTTGTTGTGAGAATTTAATTCATGATTAATCTCTTTACTTATTGATCTGTTCAGGTTCTCTATGTCTTCATGAATCAATCCAAGTGCATGGTTCTAATTATTGTCCCTTTCTTGAAGGATATCCAATTCATTGGTGTATAATTATTCATATTTCTCAATTATGATTCTTTGTATTTCTGTGCTATTAAACATTTCCATTTTCATTTGTGAGCTTATTTATTTGGGTGTTTTTTTCTTTGATAGTCCAGCTAAAGATTTATAAATTTTTTTTCAAAAAGTCAACTCTTTGTTGTATTGTGAGTTTGCATTCTTTTATTAGCTTATAATTTATTTATTTCTGCTCTGATCTTTATTGTTACTTTCCTTCCACCAACTTTGGATTTAATCTCTTCTTGTCTGTTTCCTTGAGGCATAACATTGTGCTGTTTGGCATCTTTCTTCTTTTTTATGAAAGGCTTTAGTGATATGACCTCCATTTTTAAGATCAATTTTACAGCATCCTATAAATTTGTTATGTTGTGTTTCAATTTTAATTTTTCTCTAGACTTTTTTCTTAATTTTCCTTTTAAGTTCTTATTCAACCCATTGGTTGTTGAGAGATTGTTGTTATTTCATATCAATGTATTTGTGAATTTTCTGAAATTCTTCCTCTGATTGGTTTCCAGGTGTGTAACAACATGGTCAGGAAAGATACTTAATATTATTTCAGACTTAAATCTGCTGAGACTTTCTGTAAGGCCTGTTGTATGACTCTTCCTGGAGGATGTATGTGTATCTGAAGGATGTGTAGGCTGTTGCTGTTGGTTGGAGTGTCCCACATGTATTTGTTTGGGAGGGTGGTTTGAAATCAAGAAGTCTCATATTTTCTTATTAATTTTCTCTTTCAATGATCTACCCATTGTCGCAAATGGGGCAATGAATCCTCCTACTTTGTTGTATTGCAGTCTTTTCATCCCTACAGATTTTTACATGATTGCTTTATATATTTCAGTGCCCTGATGATAGGGGGTATTTATTTACAAAAGTAAATATCCTTCATATGAATTTACAACTTATAATTATGCAAGGTCTTTCTTTTTCTTTAATTACCACTTTTGAGTTGAAGCCTACTATGTTCCATGTACATATAACTATCCCTGCTCTATTTTGGTTTTCATTTTCATGAAATTTAGTTTTCTATAGCTTCAATTTCTGTGTATGTGTGTTCTGAAAAGTTAGGTGTGTCTCCAGCACCAGAGAAATAGTTGGGTCTTTTTATTCATTTATTTGTTTAACCTTTCAGTCACTCTTTCTTTTCTTTGGATATTTTAATCCATTTATATTCTTAGTAATTTCAATATGTAGTGACTACTCCTCTGTTTTGTTTGCTGGTCATTTCATACATGTACCATTGCTTTCTAGTTTTCTTGCTGACTTCTTTGTGGTTTGATGGTTTTTTGTAGCACTATGCTTTGAATACTTTCTATCTTTCTTTCATGTCTAGTATAGATTTTACATTTGTTGTTACCATGAAGCTTACATAAAACACATTACACTTAAAAAAAGAGAATTGTTTGCTCCTCAATGACCAACACAGCGTAGCAAACATAAAATCCTTCCATGATGTAAGGATGTTGATTGAGGATCAATGATTTATTGTGGCAAAGATTGTGCTGAAAGTTTATGGGTAGCAGATAATGAAAAAAAAAAAAGAAGAAGAAGCTTAAATTTGTATTGAAATGATGTCCCAAGTCATCCCATTTCACATGAAGAAGCCAGGGCATTACAAGGAAAAACTCTAAGAGCCCTGAAGAAGAAGAATGACAGGCAGAGACAGGAAATTCCAGGATCTGGAAAGAATCCTTAGCTTCCCTCCACACCTGCTGCTGAGCTAGGGATGAGCCCCTGGTGGGCCTTGAGTACCCCCTGGAGGCCTCGTGTGCCCCTGCAGGTCTGTGTCTGGGCTCCCCTGATGTCCCCTCTCTGTGTCTGGCACAGACACACAGGGCTGTGTCCTAAGTTCCTGGGGAAGTCAGCTTCAGGGACATCTGGATTCTGGACGTGCTTCTGGAGTCAAAGACGACTATTTACGGACTGGTTGTGCCTTAAGTTCCCATCATCACGGAGGCACCTCATCCATGACAGACCCTTCCCCATGGGCCGGGGGACCCAGTCCCACAGCAGCCACTCATGTTGGTGGAGAATCCACACACAGGACAGGTGAGGAGAGGGTCTGCACAGCGTCCCCAGCCCCTGGCCAACTCCTGCCGCTGCCTGGGACAGGACACCTGGGGACACCTGAGGACAAAGTGGACCCGATCCTGCCATCATGTGTTGTCAAAACTGTCCCCTGGGCCCGTGAGTGACAGCTGAGACACCATCCCACCTTGCCATAGACCACATCTCCGACCTTCCCAGAGACCTCAGCCCTGTGTGAGGAGGGAGCTGTGAGCTTCCCCAGCCCTGTATGAATTTACCTTCTCATCTGAATGAGACTTGCCTGTGGGGAGCCCTGTCTTATAAATGGGGAAGGACTGAGATCTGGCTTCCCCTGTGTTTCCCAGGCCCTGGGGGACATTTCAGATCTTAGCCCTGGAGGACAACTTTAGAGTTGGAATGAGTCTACGATGCTCATTTTAAACTTGGCATAGAGGGCCGAGTATTGTGAGCACAGACTCACCTTTGCTCAAGTTTCCCCTCCCGCCAGCCCTTGCAAGGCCCCAGCCCCACTTTTCTCCATGATCTGAGGTGCCAGGACTTCTCCATGCTCAGCCCAGCACAGCTCCTGATTCCCTCCCTGGACTTTATCCTGCATGTGGCTCTTGTCACCCTGGGACCTTCTTACTTGTTACATTGGTTGAGAGGTAGATAGATAGACAGATAATAGACAGATATATATATATATATGTGTGTGTGTGTGTGTGTGTGTGTGTGTTTGTGTGTGTATGTATATATGTATGTATATGTATATGTGTGTATATATATACATACATATATATGCACAGCTATATAGATAGATATATAGGTAGAGAGGTTGGGAAATAGATAGATAGATAGATAGATACATTTCAGATAGATAGGTAGACAGAGAGATAGCTATGGGCAGACAGACAGACAGACAGATATATTAAAGGGAAGACAGAGGCCATTGGATCTGCTAGCATGGCTAGGTCCAACTCTGCTGGCCTGAGACCAGTGGATGACTCTCAGTGTGAAACATAGGGCCAAAGAACCTGGTGTGCTGATGTGGAGGTACAAGAGGAGAGGGATGTCCCAGCTCCAGAAGAGGGAGAGAGGGAGTAACTGCGCCTCCTGCTGCTTTTCCTGCTGCCTGAGCCCCCAGCTGATTGCACCCTGCCCAACCAACTGAGCACGGATGACCCCACTCATTCTACTGACCGACAGTCTCCTCTGCAAACACCCTCACAGACACACCCAGAAGTAATTATTTACCCCTTCTGCAGGTATTCCTTAATGCAACCAATTTAGCAGCTAAAATTCACTCTCATGGACACTTGCTTTGATGAACACCCTAAGGGAGTGGGAGAAACGCAACGATCTGGTTCATCAAAACATCACTGAAGATATTTTACAGATAATCAACTCCATTTCCCCTCTGCTTTCATAATCCTACATCAAAGAGAGCCTCAGTCTTCCTTGTCCTTGTCACGGCCTCAGCCCAACACAGCTGCATCTCCCTCAAGGTTTCTGACCGCCTCAGGATGTGAGTTGTCACACTGTGTCTAGCACAGTAATACACAGCGGTGTCCTCAGGTCTCAGACTGTTCAGCTCCATGAAGGCTGTGTTTGTGGATGTGGTCGCAGTCATGGTGACTCGGCCCTGGAACTTCTGCGAGTACCTTGTGGAACCATCTTCAGGGTCAACACGTCCCATCCACTCCAGCCCTTGTCCAGGGGCCTGTCTCACCCAGTGCATATAGGAGCTGGTGAAGGTGTATCCAGAAGCCTTGCAGGACACCTTCACAGAGGCCCCAGGTGACCTCATCTCAGCTCCGGACTGCACCAGCTGGACCTGGGAGAGGGCACCTGTGCAGAGCAGACAGGACTGGTTGAACACACCTTGGCTGACTCCAGACCCCTCCTCACCCTGGGCCTGGGGAGCCCCTCACATGTAGCTGCTGCCACCAGGAAGAGGATCCTCCAGGTCCAGTCCATGGTGAGGAGCTGAGCTCTCAGGGGCTTCTGCAGAGGAGGGATGTGGCTGTGGGGTGATGGTCTCAAGGCACAGGAATAGCTGTATTTAGCTCAGCAGACCTTGGGTAGTTTGCATATTCATGAGGCAGGGCATTTCATAGCCCTAGACCTGCCCCAGCATAAGAAAGAGAAACGTGAAGACATGTGGGCCATACAACAACATGGAAATGCTGAGGACAGGCGTTCCTGCAACCCCCTTGAACTGTATGTGCACAGAGGTTCTCCCATTGAAAAACAAGCCCCAAATACACGTTCTTCACTGTGAACCCACATGTGAATTGCATGGTCAGTTCCAGCACCATCTAGGGGCTTTGACACCTGAATATCTTCTTCTCTGATCAGTGACATTCTTGAAATGTTCTACCCAGTTATATGTAAAAAGCTTCCCTTGCCTCCAGCTGCTTACTCTTAACACATGTAGGAGGGCTAGAGACCCTTTGTAAATGTGGCTTTCCTTAAAGTACTGTGTTACATAAACACTCACAGCTGAGTAGTATATTCATACAAATAACAATATAGCATATAAAATTATTATTATACATTTTCAGAAAAGGAATACCCAGTCCCCAAGAGCAACCCCCTCCCAGCCTCCTGTGCACCTGCTGGGCGGCAGCCTGTGCTGGGTGCTCCTGAGCACGCCCTGCAACCCAGCCCCACCTGCAGGGGAGGTTCCCTCTGGACTCTCAGAGCATCTTTCCCCCAGTGTCCCTAGCCCAGTGTGACCCGACTGTGCCATGGGTCACATGTCCTTCACGGACATCATGTGCTTTTGACTGGAAACTGTGAACTGGCCTTTCTAAACCCAGAGAATTCTGCAGGGAGGCCCCAAGAAAGGATTCTATGAAACCATCAGGGAACCCCTTCCTCGAAGCTCCACATGCGTTAGTACGGTCACACTCACAGGGGGCCAGAAACCCTCAGGGGTTATGGAGGAGCCTCATATCTCATTTAAATTCCTCTGCTCAAATGTAACTTTAATACACAGCTAATGGGCTGGCCCAGAACTCACCACACTGCTAATCCTGCAGCACACTATCTCTCTCTCTCTCACACACACACACACACACACACAGACACACACACACACACACACACTGTGGCCAGTGTTCACAGCTGTGGGAGGAACACTACTCTTCTTCTCTGCATGTTGCACATGGGTCGAGTCCACACACTGACCTTGGGCCTGGGCATGTGCCCTTGTCAGACAGAAAACAGCAAACACCTCACAACTGGAGAAAGGGACTTGCACACATTGTGGGTTTGCTTGTTCTCCCAGCAAGAGAGACCCTGAAGATGCCCCTGAGTGGGGCCAGGCTTGCCCCTATAGGGTCAAACCGGGCAGAGCCATGTGCAGTCAGTGCAGAGAGCACCAAGCTGTCTGGACTCTGGGAAGGGCCACACTGGCCCCCCAGCTCAGCAGATCCCCCTCTCAGAGACACAGCCAGGAGCCTGAGAGAAGGGCCCTGGGGAATTGGATGGGACATCACCCCAGGGGAAGAAGCAAGAACTGATCTTGGAAGAGGGGACTCAGGAGGGAGAACTGGGCATGTCAGACTCCCTGAACCAGGGTCTAGGATGGGTCACCACTTACTAATTCCACTATGGGGAATATATTGGGGACCGTGTACCTCTGCCACCTGGGCAGGTGGGCTCCACAGTGAATGACTCATGTTTTCATGACTCTAGTGGCAGGAACAGAAGAGCTGCACTTGAAAATCCCAGGCAAGGATACATGTCTGCTTCCCAGTCCAGGGTTCAGTGGATGCTGCACATGGTCCCACATGTCTCCTCTGGGGTGAGCAGGGGCTGCATGTGGCCTGAGGAGGACCCAGGCAATCGCACCAAGGTCCCAGATGTCCCATCCCATAGCAGGGCCCTTTGTAGTGTGCCTACCCAGTGACTCCTGCCCAGAGAAAGGGGCTGTGTCTGGCCCCAAACACAGGCTGTGTCTAAGAACTCACTTTTGCCAACCAAGAGGCCATAAAAGTGCAGGGATGCTGGGTGTCCTGAGTTCACTGCTTCCCAGGAGACCAGCAGGGGTGTGAGCCAGGGGCGGAAGGTCCACTGGGAACTCACAACTGAGGAAAGTTAGGTCCTGATAATTCAGAGGAGGAGTTATCAGCCAGCTCAGGAGTTCCTGCTCAGCCAGGTCAGCTCCTGGGCAGGGCAGCTGCCTGGTGAGTGTGGTTCCTGCCCTGTGAGGGAGGCCAGGCTTCCACAGGGGTCCCTCCTCACCAGAAAAAAAGGTGGCCTTGTCCATCCTCATGTGCCCAGCCTGATGGTCATCTCCCCTTCCTGACCTCCTGCCCTGTGGCCCACAGGCCCTGTATCTAACACAGGGGCAGAGGCACTTCTTAGTCACCCCTGCAGTTGCCCAAGCCCAGGTCGCTGCAGGAGAGACCTGAGTGTCCCTGGTTCTGATGCTGGATGAACCCAAGTGATTCACAAGGATTTGTTGAATATTACCATGAGGAGAAGAGAACTTTTCAAATACCACAAAGGATGAGAAAGAAGTGAGTCTGAGGATGATGATAGAGGGTTGCTGAACATGTAGCTGTCAGAGGGTCCAGGTTCCTCTAGTGACCTGAGTTTTGTCCCCCTGTGTGTCTGGGCTTCCCAAGGTTCTCCTGCTCAGATAGACTCTGTCATCACATACTGAGCTTTCACCCACTCTCATCATGCTGCTGGGGTGAAGAAGTTTGAGGAGGGGGAAGATGGATATTGTTATGACTACGTCTCACTGACTCAGTCATCCTCTTCCCCTGGGCTGTGACCATCACCAGGAGCCCCCAGTAATAGAGGTCATGTGCACCTGTGCTCTACTCCCTTCCGTGGGAATGGTGACCTGGACTATGGCCCTTAGTCTCCAAATTTTTTGATTATTTCTTCTCATAAGAGATACAGGTTTAAAGGAGGGTCCTGGAAGAGGCACAGTTCCCGTCCCTGGCTAACACTCTGCAAATGACTTTCCTCCAGAGAGTGTGTCTGCACCAGCCTCAGGGTCCAGGTCTCAGGGAACCTGAACCTTTCCCTTCTGGTCTCACTCATCTGTTTATTAGCAGACAGGGAGTGCTTTTGGAATCATCTCATGAGATGGTGAATCTGCCTTTGTCAGATAAAGCGATTCTTCTGTCCTACCATTAGCCTTGCTTCTAATAAAACCAACCCACTCCAGCCCCTTCCCTAGAGCCTGATGGACCCAGTTCATGTAGTAGTCACTGAAGGTGAATCCACTGGCTGCACAGGAGAGTCTCAGGGACCCCAGAGGCTGGACCAGGCCACCCACAGATTCCACCAGCAGCACCTTACACTGGACACCTGCAAACACAGACACATCCTGGGCAGAAACTGCCTGAAACACACCCACTGTTTCTCTCACTCACATCCACTCACACACCCAATGTCTCTAGTTCTCCATGAAACAAGCTACCGGTGAGACTGGAAAACTCTGTTGATAGTTTAGGCACATAATTTATATTGTAGTACTGCTTATCTGCAATATAATAAACTAAAATCTTTATTTTAATTTCAACATTTCATATTTAATAACCTAAAAATATCTATAATGACTTTTTTTTTCTACTAGGCTTCCCCCGAGAATTATAACGTGATCCAGTGTCCAGCATCAGTTGCTTTAATAATATCCACAAATGTCACAAGATCTGCTTTATCTTCACAGCAGACATAATTATCTCTTCCCTGGAGATGAACACGCACTTGCAACCTATCCACAAAAGGGTCATATGCACAATTTCCTTCTCCGTGAGCAGTAACTTAAATCATTGTCACTCCAATATCAAAACACACACACCTGCTGAAGGGAGGACAGACCTTTCCCATCTGTTCAAATCATGGACCCAGTGACCACCATGTAAGCAACCTCTCACCGTGATCCGCACGTTAGGCCTGCCTCTCCCCTCCAATGTCCTATAGCACCTCGGCCCAGATCTTCCGCTGTAACATGAACCAAGATTTGTGCTAGTATTTTGGCCCCCATAACTTCTGGGGATTGTCCTATCACTTAAATTCAGGGTGGTAGATTTTTATTTATTTATAATAATTCCTTTTACTAATATGTTTGAATACAGGTGGAACAAGGCGGTGATCAGTGCTCTGTTCATGAAATGATATGCAGGAAAGGGCCTTTCAGAGACAACAGGGGCTGACTCAGTCAGTGTGTGAGGACCCTGTGCTGAGGGTGCAGGACCTGCCCCAGCCTCACAGGTGTGACATGTCAGGGCAGGGCCAGAGCAGGGGTTCCCTGGGCCATCAGAGGTGAGGCTCACACAGGTCCTTTGTGGATCCTAGGAAAGGAAATGACACCACTCA